CTTCTTAACCGCCCTATAGCAGAAGTATTTTTTGCAGGGTTGTTCAAAATCACACATATATATTTGATTTTGCATTTCTGGGTAGGGGGCATGTGCGCATGCGCCTCCCTACCCGTGCCACCATTGGCGGCTGCTACAGATGTTTATCACCTGCCTGGTCAGGAAGGGGGGTACATCTTCTGGAGGGCAAGTGGTTAAGCAGGCACAGTTGCCTACTTTTTTGTTACTACTTGACATGCAAAAGGTCTATAAAACATGAACTGTTATTAGCACATGCAGTGGAAGATGGGAAAACACTTGTGGCATACAGTATAAGGAGTAGAAGTGATGATGTGCTGAAGGTATCTAATTTGGGAAGGATGAAATTTGACTAGTTTTACCAATTTTTTAAATTTATATATTGCTTTTTTGACTAATTTAACTTACAGGTAAATGGGAAACTAAGGTAGGAAACTAAAATCAAATTAGTGAAAGATGGAATCTGGCTTGTTATATAATTTTTTGTTTAATTTATATGTTGCTTTTTGGCTTATTTAATTAGCCTAGTAATAACATATAGTAAAAGCTGATTTTTACTTGGTTCTGGTAATTCTTTAGATCATTCAATACAGTGCACAGAAGGCATATGGGAGCACGTTGACCATAATAATCTTTATGTGCCCAAGTTATTTCCATTACAGATAGCTATCCAAGGTTTATCACGCTAAAGCATATTAACAAAAACCTGGTTTATATCTACAATACATTTAAAACTAGTTTTGTAGCTAGAAATTATTCAGTTTACAGTTTTTATATATTATTTCAACTGCATCAGCAGTTTGTTTAATGTGAAATTAAAAAAACAAATCTCAGTATTAGCTGCCGCTGTTATTTCACTATATTTTATGCTACATTTAAAAAAAAGAAACCTGTCATGTTAGCACTTAACAATGCCTTTTTGTTAATTTCTAAAGATATAATATAAACAGGCACTTAATTTTATGCCTGTGCTTGTGTGCTATGTGTAAACAAAATTATTTTTGTATTATAGCTTACAGAGACACTAATGTATGCAATGGAAAATCTTTGAAACATAGTACATCTTTTTAAAGAGCTTTTATGACGTTAAGAGTCAAAATAATTAATAAATCACATCCATTTTATACACAAACATCTTTGCATATAATGGGCAGCCATTTAATGAGAGAATGGAACTTTTACTTTAAATGATAAAATGCCTTTTTATCCCATTTCCACTTTTACTCACTTATTTGAAACAAAAACAAATGGACAATTGATAACCATTTCCATGGTGAAAATTACAGACCTCTCTTTTTGTTTCTGTTTGTTACTAACTTTCATAGAATACAGGCAGTTCGAGAGGAACTTTACCCCCCTCTGCCTTTTTTTTTCCTCCGTCTTATCTGTCATGCAGTATTTTCCTCCATGCAGTACTCATTGTTGATTTAAAGATTTACCTGAGAATTATAGCCAGTATCATAAGACCTTATATACCAGTCTTAATTTATTTAGAACAAGTGGGCTTTGTTCCATGTGTGGAAGTAGTAAGAGATGGCACTCTTAGGACTATCATTTTCATTGGCTATGTGGTCTCAGTTGATACAGGGAAGGTATTTGACTCTTGGCTAGAATTCTCTAGGCAAGGCTCCAACAAACTGGCCTGGCTTCTTCAATGGTCAAAAAGATTATTGAGCTCTATGGCTCCCACAGCAAGAATCCATATTAATGGCTCCTGGGTGAGATTCATTATGGTGCGTGTCAGGGTGGCCCTCTGTCACCTTATTTCTATGTTTTGACAATGGAACATTTGGCCAGAACTCTCTAAGATAACTTTTCTATAAAATATGTACAGATTGGTAATCGTTAACCATCTTCATAAGATGCGAATTACCTTCTCCTTTATGGCTCCAACTGAACCATCACCTTTCCTGTTTTCTTGGGAGAATGTACCATGTTTGGATCTGTAAGCAACTTTAGGGTTATTCCAATAAATGTGTTGCACTTGGAATTAGCTTTTCCCTGGAAGTCAAGCAACATCCAATTGGTGACCTTTGATTTCACTTGTCTTTTACAGTGGTTAGATATTTATGGGTAGAAATTCAGTCTTATTTACCCACCTATCCTCCAGTCAACGCTTGCTAGATTAAAAGAATGGTCATCTAAGAAACATTCTTGGTTCAGTTGTATGGCACAAATAGATGCAAACTACAGATTCACATTACACAAGTTTTTAACACTTTGAAATCAACTCTCTTACACTATGTGTGGGTACAAGGTCTGTCACGGTTGCACTAGTAGTGCACATGTAGTTTTTATCAAACAAAAACAGTCAGGTGTTCTAGCTCTCCCACAAATTTGCACTTCTGATGCATATTTTAGATGGGATTTATCACACCAGACATAAACAGTGGGTTGACATGGTAGATGACATTTTACCCAATCCTTTTACATCTTTTCATTCATCCTTAAGAATAACCACCATTATCCCTTTTCCCTATCACTATTCCTCTTCTACTACAGGTTTAGGATTTTGCAAGCAAACACCGGGCAGTTTAATCCTATAATGGCCCTATGACCCCTATTTTAGGCAACTTGACTTTTTGGCAAGGCTTTATAGTTTTTTTTTTTTTGGTGAACATGTCCTCTTACTGATCTCCCAGGCCTCCCAAATCCTCACTCATCATGCCAATAAGTTCCTATATTTTCTGCTCCAGGCATTTTTGGATCAATTTAATTAAATGAGGTGAGATCTAAAGTGGCCTTACTTCCTTTGAAGATTTGTGTCTTTGTAAGTAGGATCTGGGGTTGATTTACTAAAGGTGAGTAGACAGGTGCATTTTTCAAGGGAATCCTTCCCGTAGTGATTGAGGTGAAGCTCTGATGACTTCCTTCATAGAATTATATTCAGGCATAAATGCATTTTGCATTTTTTTGCACATGATTGGGTATTTTCTTCACATTGAAATGTAAATCATTATTAGCATTGTGAGGGATAGCAGCATATATGGTGGTCTTGCCCTGGATCAAACTTTACTGGTCTTGTGTCATCACATACAAGGCAATGGTGGGTTGAAACATCCCTATGACTCTGGAATTAGATCTTTGATCTGCGTACGCAGGCTCCTTCTCTAAATCTTTTCTGCTTCTTCATGTTAGCCACCAGGGCAGCTATCCCCTGACACCAGAGGACAATACATATTTCTGCAATGTAGAAACTATTCATCCTCCAACATATGAAGAAAATGACCAGCTCTACAATCAATATATCACTTATATAAATACCTAGAGCAGCTGGATCATTTACAATACAAAGATGCCTTGATATATCTGTAACAACCTAAGCATGATTCCAGGGGTCAGTTCTTCAGTTCCTCTTTTTCTATTCCCCCAGGGCACTAGTGTTTTCTACCCCCCCCCCCCCTCCTTTTTTTTACATTTCTTACCTTCTCCCTGTTTCTTTCTGCATACCCTCAGCTTTCTCTCCCTTTAGGATTCTTTGACTCTCTCCTACGTATTTTTGTGTACCCTTTTTACAGCCTTTTGGCTTGGAGGGATTGGTAAGCCACCAACCTTTTTAATTTTTGTAGATATTATTACTTCCTGCACTATCCCACTGTGACAAGGGATCAACTTTACTGATTTTCCCATATGGCTTTGTCTCCAGGTTTAGTGTATATGGGAATTTTGTTATGACTTGCTGGATTTGTCCTGGATAAAGACTGTATTCCCATTGGATCTAATTGAAGTTTTTGTAGTCTGCTGTATTATAAAAGCCTGGTAAACTTTTATTTTGTAGAAAAAAAAAACAGCATAGGCAGAAGCAGGGAATTAGCCAACTGGATGAAAGAAGACTTAAACAGGAGAGCTGTACACTATTATTAAGACACATCAAAGAAGTTTGTTTATGTGGGTGGTAAACAACAACTCTTTTTATATACAGTATAATTATTTATGTATGTAGGAAGAAGTATTAACTTTTACTGAAGCAGTATTGTTATTGCATAGTTTAGTTTTTTTGTTGTCCATTTTAGGCACATGTTAACTGCGGAATCATATTTACATCTAAAATGTATTAACAACTATTTGCTATGAGCATAAAATACAGTATAACAAAGATGAAATGTGTTCTTCCATGTTCTTTACATTATCTGCTTTTTCTTGTTTGAATGGAGTGAAAAATCCACTTATCTGCCTGTCTCCTTGTCATCAATACATGGAATAAAGCTGAAAAAGAAAAAAATGTGAGATGAAATACACAGTAAGGTTCATCCTGGTGAAGAGTTTTGAACAACTGTGTGTAACAAATTCTATCCCACTACTTGACATGAATGTCCTGCAGTTCTAACACTTTGCTGTTTTATCTGGTTCAAAGACTGAACCTTGTTTTGTTCCTTTAAAAATAAATATCCATCACAGAAGTACTAGAGGTTTGCAAATCAGAGTTTGCTTATGATTCTTTTTCTACTAATACTTTATTTAATATTCTTTTTCAGGACATACACTTTACAGCATGCCCTTTCCTCAAAAATTCATATCTTGAATAACATTAGAAATAGTACATAAACTATTATAGCATCTAGATTAACCACTTGCCTACAGGGCACTTATACCCCTTCCTGCCCAGGCCAATTTGCAGCTTTCAGCGCTGTCGCACTTTGAATGACAATTGTGCGGTCATGCAACATTGTACTCATATGAAATTTTTATAATTTTTTTGACACAGATAGAGCTTTCTTTTGGTGGCATTTAATCACCTCTGGATTTTTTATTTTTTGCTAAACAAACCAAAAACAACTGAAAATTTTGAAAAAAAAATGTTTTTTTTTTTAGTTTCTGTAATAACATTTTATAAATAAGGGATTTTTCTGCTTCACTGATGTGCGCTAGTGAGGCTGCAGTGATAGGCACTGATAGGCTGCACTGATGGGCACTGATAGGCAGCACTGGTAGGTGGCACTGATGGGCATTGACAGGCATCACTGATGGGCACTGAAAGGAAGCACTCATATATGGCACTGATAGGCAGCACTGACTAGCACTGATAGGTGGCACTGACTGGCACTGTTAGGTGGCACTGACTGGCACTGTTAGGCGGCGCTGATAGGCAGCACTGATGGGCACTGATAGGCAGAACTGATGCGTTCAGCACGTGACTTCATCAGGGTCATCAGGGTCCCTGATGAAGTCATGTGCTGAACGTGACGCAACGCATCGATACGTTGGGAGGAGATTCTATTAACGCAGTGACGTCATTTCTGGCGTGGGGGCCATATTGGATCACCCTGTTGTATTACCCATGCAGTACACCCATAGCATGTGGTAGGAAGCTGGATTGAATCATTACTAATGTGAGTGGAACTCTATCTGTATCTGTTTATTGCATAATAAAACTGGTTGCACTATGGAGGGTCTCTGTTTGTGTTTCACTATGACCCTGGGAGGAGCTGGCTGCTATTCTGGTTGATGCTGGAGGTGGAAGGCAAAACCCAGAGAGGATTCCAGTCTGATAGGATCGTTTGAGCCTTAAAGCGTGCTGGCCCTGTGGGGTCTAAGTAAGGAGGTGAGGGGGCATTTTGGCTGTTAAAGGATTGGCACGTGTGAATTACGCACACTGCACACTGTTTTTTGCATGAAGAGTGGAGTGGGAAGATTACCACAAAGCATTAAATTATATGTTTTATCAATTGTTTGGACTTTTTTTTGCAACTGAATATTGGTTCACTTATTTTGATCACTGTATGTTTTTTTGCCACTATATTGTCTTATGTGTATATTTGTCACCTTTTTGCACTAGATATTCCCTATGAGGGATTACACGCATGACACTATTATATAATTATTGCTGAGTTTGGATATATACTCCTATGGGGTGTATATTGAGTATATTTATTGAGTTTATTTATTGTATCACCTATTCACTGGATATTTATATATATTATTTATTAGCGCTGCACTGTTTATTTAATTGATCATTCACTTAATTTGGGTATAAGTTTAGTGTCAGCAGCTTTCTTTTAAGGTTAGGATTCCATATAAGTGCAGGAGGTCCTTTGTAATTACATTGATATGTTGTATATAAATTCTTGCTTTTAATAGAATTTGAGTATTCAACTTAAAATCTTTTCAGTCTGGTGTTCACTTCATCAGCAAAAAATGTTGAAGTTTAAAAATTTACAAATGTCCTAAGGACATCTAAAAGTTTGCTGTAAATCAGCAAGCGCATCTAGGTCTTTTGAAGGGCATCTTTGTAAACTTTAGAATCACTGTATAAAAATTGAAGCCTTCACATATGCTATAAATACAGTCGTTCTTCAAACCTTCCGTATTTTTATGGTCTGTGGCTTTTGTGCCAACTCATTTCACCTATACCTCTTCATTTTCTTTTTTTCCCCATTATTGACTCTTGGAACGTGCAAAGCTGCTTTCAAGATGAACGCCATCTTTCCTATTACATTATTTCAGCTCTGCTAATTTTTCAATCCCTCACCTCTGTCATTCAAAATTTCTTCAGATCGCTATTTTTTTCTTTTTTTTTGTATTAACTCAAGTGAACTGTAAAATGGGAAAAACTGAAAATGTTTCTTTTCCAAACTTTATCATTAGCATTTAATCCTCCCAGATCCATCACAGTGCTTTTATCCCCTGTATTTTAAGCAACATTATTTGCTGATAGTACTATACTTATAATTTGGCATTCCTAAGGATGAATCCTCTAGGATTATTATAATTGTAATTGCAAGTTTAGTTGTTGAGAAATAGCACAAGAATGTTCCAGCTTAGTTAGCACAAAACAAAAAATTGTTGCAGTGTCAACAGAGATTTTGTAAATATATATATATATATATATATATATATATATATATATTATCATTATTATTAATATTACTTTTTTCTTTTACATGGACAGTATTGTTATTTAAAGAAAAGTAGCAGCTGAACAATTCAGATTTAACATGGCAGATAGAAAAGCAATAGCATTGTGTCAAATTGTTGCATGTGTGACCATTATTCCTAGCTTTGCCAGTACATGCAGAGGCAGTGTAAGAGCAGAGAGAGAAGAGGGGCCTTATCCTTAGAAGGAGGACTTAGCAATTGTAATCCTAGTTAAAGTTGTCTGAGTGGTAAAATCTAAATGTATTTTCCAAACCATCAAAAATTCCCTCATTTTGTTTTATAGAGAGAGTTTAAAACAAGGTAATGAATGGATGCCCCACCCTTTAATGGGGATAAGATTTCTTGAAAACTTTTAGGCATATGAGGCCACAACTGACCAAATTCCTCATCCCTGTTATCATAATGGCCAATGCTGGCATGTTTTCCAGGCAGTAGTCTTATCCTGCTCTTAGAATTTGTAAGTATTCCACCATATGGTTCCTCATTAACAACATGACAATGAGAAAAGTTACTTCTTTCCTTGTTTTTTAATGTTGGTACATTCTCTAATAGGAAAAGATGATAGTAACCATGTCACAGTTATGCCTGCTACTGAATCTGATTGCCTCCTTAACGGGCCTAAGCTGGTGACATGCTCCCTACTTTGCTGCTGTAACATGTAATGTAGGAGGTCAAGTCATTTGCAAAGTAGAATTACAATGAATTGCTAAAAACAAAGCAGCCTAAGAAAGGGGGGAACCTATTGTCTTTTCCGAGGACAGGAAAGCATTTTTAGCAGAATAATCTGCACTAGGAAACACTAGGTAGTTTTGTTGCTGTGACCAAGACCGTTTTAACACTCCATATATTTTATCATTCCTTCCACATTATAAAGTAATTATAGTTGTCTCCCAAGTTATAGTTGCCTTTCAAGATTTCGATAGTGCCATGAAATGGATAATGCAAGAAGAATCCCAAAGAGAATTTCACATTGCAGTCACTTGACTATATTGCAACTAGGACCTAGGAATTCAGCCAGATGAGTGTTTAGTTAGCAGACCCACAAACAAAGGTATTACATTTCTGTTTTCTACTGAGCTATATTGTAGTTAAGGACTGGATATCAGATAAGGGGGAAGGGCTTCTTTGATGCTGCTGAAAGTGGATATGTAACACAACACACTTGCCATGGTGTGCCAGACTTTATACCTGCAATCCCTTCCTCTTTCTTCATGCCTAAAAGGAGACCATCCAGCTATTACTGCTCACCTTCATCATAACAGGAGTGAGATCCTTCACTGATTCAAACTTCTTACATGCCCTTTCTATCCTGATACAGTAGCTCTGAGCTTAGCTTTGAGAGCTCACTCCTGTGATGGTGAAGGTGAACAGTAATAGCTGTGCCTCTCTTAGCAATGTCCTAGCAACATTCTGAGAGTTTTCCAGTCAGGCTGAGGTTCGTAAACGGCCCATACCTATAGCAAAGCTGCACAGTTACTTTTTATCTACAGATGCCCCTTATATGCATAGGCAATTTTTTTTTTTTCTGTAAAGGTGAACTAACCCTTTAAACAAGCCAACCATTAAACATAATCTGAGATTCCCTGAGAGCAATTGGTGTGCTGAAATGTTATTGCAAAATGTTTATAGTGCTTCTGTTGCCCATGCATTTCAGTGTCCCATATTATCTATTTTAGCATTGGGATGAGCTTTGGGTTTGGGTTGAACATGAGTTCTTCCCAAACACAGCCTGTTCACAGTTCATTGAATTTGTTTAGTTTGCTTGTCCAAACCTTCTGATGATGTACTTGGAAGTCTGTAATTTAGAGGTTGTGGCACTACCCCGACTAAATGACATTACCGATCTTTACTGGCTTCTGTATGCAAGAAAGCAGGTATGTCAGGTGTCCTGACCATATTTGGTCCATGGCATCACCCAAGATACCTGCTGGCTTGTTTACAAACAGATCTCATATGCACATGCACAACTGGGGTTAGACAAAAAAAATGGAAACACGACATGACTTCAGGTGTGAAAGTGAAGACATGTTTCACATTGAAAGTGGAAGTGATATAACACTCTTTTGCTTCCCCTGTGTGATGAGACAGGTAGGAAGCCTCATTTTTGTAGTTCACTGTGTGCACTGCTAGTAATACAGACTCATGTTAGAGTTTACTGAGCTTCAAAAAGGGCAAATTGTTGGTGTGCCCGCTTAGCTGGTGCCTCTGTGACTGAAGCTGCTAATTTTCATGAGGTAGAGTATCAAAGGTTATGACGGCATATACAGTTTTTTGAAAAGCATTGTCCGATAAGCATAAGCACGGTTGACATGGTCAACTAACCAAAAGAGACAAAAGGACATTGCACAGGATTGTGATCCGGACTATAAAAAAAACAACTGCAGAAAAAGTTACTGCAGAGCTCAATCTCAGTCATGTGAAGAGATTGAGCTCTGTGGTCTCTTTCACACCTGCAAATTATGTAGTGTTTCCATTTTTGTTGTTTAACCCCTGTATATAACTGCAATCACCCTGAAGTCTAAAATGTCCCATATGCCATAATCTTGTCCTAGTTAATTTATATATATTGTTTTTGCACTATCACCCTTATTAAAAAAAAAAACTAAATGCAGCTTGGTAAAAATGTGTACAAACACCTTTGAAACAATACTATAAATCCCACATAGAGTGCAAAAGGTGTACATCTGTAACATAAAAATGATTAGTGAATAAAGCCCAGTCTTAAAAAAAGGTGGTATAAAGAATCTTCATTAAAATGAAAAATGAACAAACAGAAAAAGAGTAATTGTAACTTTTCTTCTATGTAATCCCCCACTGGAAAAACACACTTCCAGAAACAGCGTATCCTCTGTTCTTCAACGCCAAACAAAAAAACACTGTTTAACTATTACCTTCCACCTGGTGTGTGTCAGCTATATCCTATCTACTCTATGTCTCTTGCAGCCAAACAAATGACACACTGCATAATGTACAGCTACTAAATGTCTTTGTCTCCATCAAAGTCAGCCAGCTCCTTATACACAGTATCCTCCTATGTTTTCACTATGACTGTCCATAACAAATTGTTACTTTGTTTATATTCCAAACATATTTCCAGGCTTAAAGTACTTACAATGTATCCAGACACTGTTTACTGATAAAATCGGCAGTCTTATCTTACCACTCCTCCTTGTGCAGAACAGAAATTATGTAAATGACCAAATATGCTTTGCAGTCAATCACATCAGCCAAAATTCTTGACCTGTTCATAAACAAGCCAAAGAGATCTAACATTTAGTGTTAGTAGTGTTGGCAAAAAAATGCTTTTAGGGGACCATCATATTGCTTCACAGCTTGACATGCTGGACTAAGGCAGGCCATACATTCTTCTTCTTTTTTTTTTTGTTTGACCAGCGGTTTGAATAAATAAAAAAAAAGCCAGCTTTCTCCATCCACACACTT